CAGCAGATTTCAGCCAAAATAACACGAGATTACTTGAATCAGCACACATTGTGAATATTATTTTATGAGTAGGTTGACTGTAATTTAATCTCTGAACGATATTGTGTTAGTTGCATGGGAGTAGACCACGAGGCAGACCACGAAGACAGCGGAGAGATAATATTCAGGTACACATACAAGCATTTAGAGTAGCGGTTCTCAACCCATGGATCGCGACGCTTTTTGGGGTCGATCGAGGCTTTTACAGGGGTTGCCTAAGACCATGAGGAAACACGTATTCACTGAAGTTATGAAGCAGCAACGAAAATAATTTTATGTTTGAAGGTTCACCACAACAAGGGTCGCGGCATTAGGAAGGTTGAGAACCACTGATTTAGAGTCACCAGCTGAAAGAGAAGGTCAGTCGCATGGATGAATGGAACTGATGAAAAATCTGCAGCGATAAACTCATGAACCTGAAATACTCAAGAAAAGAAAGAAGGGCCTATGACGGTTGAGGTGTTGAGGTGACCCTTCTTTCTTTTCTAGAATATTTCAGGTTCTCGAGTTTATCACAGTTGAGATTATGACGGTGACTTATATCACACAGAGGCAGACAGCTTCTGCACCAGTAGGTTGTGAATGGAGCATGATATGCTACATGTGGTCAAGGTCCTTTTGGAGGAAGAGAACGATGCAGAGGTACGAATCGATCATCGTGGTCTGGAGAGAATGGTACAGCTAGCAGCGGCCAGGGGATCTGTTCGACACTCTACACACAGAGGAAAACCAAGAAGGACATATAAACAACTGCTACTCGCACGATCGGAATCGGTACTCTTCGCTGGCTGCTAAAGGTGAGGACGGGGCGCCTATGGGAGTGTTCTGAGTGCCGTGATGGCAATTCTTAAGCTAACACTCTTATATCCCAAGAACTGTGTCACCATGTTGTCTCTCTCCCCCCCCCCCCCCCCCCTCATTTGATTCGATCTGTTCCGCTTGTGCGGCAGCCCTGCTAGTATCTGAACTGCCGCTGTTATAACTCTTGAGATGTTAGCAACAGGGAATTTCCACTACTGCCAGTAGACACTACTCAACAGAAAATGCATTTCCGGTTTCTGTCCTTCCGCCTTGTCACTCGGGTATATTTGTGCAATTTGTTTCAGTTGTTTTATCTAATCGTTTCTTTGACGGTCCCCGTTATTTAGCTGCCATTCGTGTCCTGTCTGGTAAAGGGATTTCGGTCGAAGACGTCACTGTGTTGTGTCCGTCTTGGAGTTTCCGACAGTGCCCATAAAGCTTGAGACATTGGCTCTTAGAGTTTCCGACATTGCTTTTATTTGAACATAATTATCCTTGACTGAGCGTGATCGTTCAGTTATTGTAACCTATTCGAGCAGAGATTGTAACTACCTAATTCTCGATTACGATCGCTTGAGTGACGTGCAGTCGTAAGACGGATTTTACCTTTTTTTTTAGGCGTTTGTCGGCGTTTGTGGTTTAGGCGTTACGAACGCGCTTCGTAATGCCACAGTGTCGGGTTCAATCCCAGCTGCGGGTTTTGCGCCGGTTTCGACAGTGGTTTCGAGAAGCTGACCGTCTAGAAAGCAATGGCAAACTACTGGACGTAAATTTGCCTAGAAAAACCACTACAGCCAAAAAATGCTGGCGTTGGTTCTGCAACGTCCTGCGAAGGATACGCAACTAATAAAAAAAAGTAGACTTGTTATCCCCGTGTGGGTTCTACCGCCCCATTCGGGTGGGAAAGGGGGGGGGGTGGGTCAACCCACTGTTCCTAAAAAGCCTGTCGTAGGATGTGACTAGGAATGTTTCCTTTGAAGTCGGAGTGCGTTTGCCTCAAAGATGAAGAACCAACAGTCTTCACCCAAATAAGCCAGATGTGTATAACGAATTTGCACGCAAAACCTAATTTCTATAACAAGACTACAATCCAGAACTCGACGAACAACCAGAACCCCCCACCCCGGAGGTTGAAGCTGGTGAACGCAAAGAAGAAGATGAAGAAGTATGCGGTTATAGTAGTCATTCTAACAGTGACTGAATCTCTGCCTCTCTGTGTGATTGTGTGACTATGTAGGTACGTAGGTTTGATAGCTGAGGATGTAATACGGTTTAAGCAAAATGACATTCAAATCTATCGATAAAGACTAACTTCTTCTTAGTATGTCATTGGGTTCTGGAAGTGAACACAGTGTCAGAGCTAACGTCTACGGCGCTTTGGAATTATGGTTATATTGTGCCTTTTATCGCGATTGAAAGGCCATACGGACTACTACTGCTGCTACTATTGCTCATGCTGCTACGACCATTATTGCTGCCACTGATTCTGCTGCTGTTGCTACTACTGCTGCTGCTACTATTGCTCATGCTGCTACGACCATTATTGCTGCCACTGATTCTGCTGCTGTTGCTACTACTGCTGCTGCTACTATTGCTCATGCTGCTACGACCATTATTGCTGTCACTGATTCTGCTGCTGTTGCTACTACTGCTGCTGCTACTATAGCTCATGCTGCTACGACCATTATTGCTGCCACTGATTCTGCTGCTGTTGCTACTACTGCTGCTGCTACTATTGCTCATGCTGCTACGACCATTATTGATGTCACTGATTCTGCTGCTGTTGCTACTACTGCTGCTACTACTATTGCTCATGCTGCTACGACCATTATTGCTGTCACTGATTCTGCTGCTGTTACTCTTGATTCATGCTGCTACTACAGCTACTGCTACTACTTAAACTACTAATTCCATTTGCTTTGCTGCTGGCTCTACTACTACTACTACTACTACTACTACTACTACTACTACTACTACTACTACTACTACTACTACTACTACTACTACTACTACTACTACATCTGCCTCTACCGCTGCTTGTGGTCGCTGTAGCAATTCTGACATCAACAACAGAAAGCCCACAAATGCTATTTGTGCTCGTTCATTTATTTCCAACGGGAGTTATTTCCCCGCTGCCAGAGGCCACTGAGTACAACCTGATGTTTTGTGTGGTCTGTATGGGCGCGAAGTGTGAGACGTTGGTCACACGAGCCGGCCTTGCATACAGTCCCCATTCTATATGCACATATTAATTCGAGCACGATAGGCTGCTACGTTGCCGGAATGCAGGTTAGAAAACCAGGTTTAGGCAATTGTTTCACATCGAGGCGTTGGATAATGGGTCTCTGGCCGTTCTCTGATTTAGGAAGTAAATGATCTTTTATTTGTGGCCTGTAGTATCCGGTGCAGTTCAGTAAATCGCGTTTGTCCCCCCTCATCGTTCTTCTTATCTATTACCAGTAAACGTTGTCACATTTACGCAGTTGTGTGGCTGAGAGATTAGTGAATGCTTTTAAAAATTTCATGATCCTCGAGTTCCAGGGTTCGATTTCTTCGGTGGGTAGTTTAGAGCAAGACCGGTATAGTGTTTTCCGACTGTGGTGCGTGAGTAGTGCTGCAGGAGAACGTTGGTCTCACCACGTAAAAACCCGAAAAGACACACCGGCCCCTAACAAGCATGTTGTAAACACAACTAATTAGAGGAGTTTCCTTCGATATCGGAGTGTGCCTGAGAGGCAAGAAGCCAACAGTCTGCATGTAAATAAATCAGATCTGCAAAACTGGCCTGCACGCAAAACTCAAGTTATGGAAGAAGAGCAAAGCTGTCCACTGAAGTGTAAAGCCGGTGAACGCTAAAAGGAAGAAGAAGATTGTAACTGACAAGTTCCTCTGGTACACCAAGAACAAAAACACCGATGCAGCCTTCATTGTGAGGACAGCAGGTAATGTCTGGTCGCACCCAGCTGTCATTTGATTCTCTGAGTCCCTTAGGATAGCAGGGTACACCATGACAGTTCTTGGTATAGCCGCAACTTGCACAGGCACAATTTAGAACGCACCCCTCTCTTGTGTTTTTAATCTTGGTGTGGTAGAGGAACTTGGTAGTTTCGATATTCTTCTTCTTCCTCCTCAAGCAAGGACTTCTTCTGATAGTTCACGCCATCTGGTGTTGGTAGTCACGTCCATCCACAACCTTCTGACTTGTGTCCTATTGGTCAATATGATCGTGTAGCCAATAGCTTGTGTGACCAGTGGGAGGACTTTTTTTTCAAAAATAGCTTCGGCTCCTAGGTCGACCCAGCCTCAAATTGATACCAGGTAAAGTCATGGGAAGTAAAGGCAGCCGGCGTGATGTTGACCACACCACCCACAAAGTGGGTGATATTGACTTCATCATCCATTGTACTGATTGATCTGAGAAACTAAAGGTCTGATGCGCCAGTGGCGTAAAAAAAGGGTCCATTACTTATGTTACAAAAGCAGCCTGTGGAGGTTGTACTTGAGCAGTAGTTGGAATGCTTGTCTTCGGCTCTGTGGCCAGATACTTGAGTCACCGGTGAATCTAGGATTTTTTTTTTTTTTTAAATATTGACTTGGGATTCCAATTCCACTCGATCCTGTTCTACCTTGGAGTGAAGAGGTTTGCCAATATGATCGCTAGACTTTTCAGTCAGTAGTTTTTATTCCAATTCCACTCAATCCTGTTCTACCTTGGAGTGAAGAGGTTTGCCACAATGATCGCTAGACTTTTCAGTCAGTAGTTTTTATTCCAATTCCATGGAGCTTAAAGCGGGTACTGGGAAATGTACCCAAATCAAGAATGGGTGGGTGATTTAATCATACGATTTTTCAAGCGCCGATTGATCTGTAAAAAATAGGTGTCTCGAACGCTATATGTCATGGGGAAAACAGTTATGAACCTTTTACCTCATCAATCTATAAGTATAGACATGCAGAATACGTCCAGAGACGTAGAAGAGTCTCCTTTACCATACACACTGGGCGATAACGTACAGAAGCATACACCATCTCCTCACGAAGTGATATTGTCATATGCTTCAGAAAGAGTCGATAACTGTGGAAGCAATCGCTACATTGTTGTGAATATTTGTCTCCCATTACCCCCGGAGATTTGACTATTTGTTTCTTTCTCTCCACAGGAAAGCTGGCCCCTATGGCAGTTTGTACTCAATTACTTGGCGCTGATCAAATGTCAAGGTCTGGAAGCACTAATGGAGGTTCGTTATTCTTTTTTTCTTTTTTCTAACAAATTCTGTCAGACGTACAAAGTCCGGGGAATGTTCTGTTTTTATTGCAATGTCAGATCAGATGAGGAGTATATGAACTGAATACGATCATGTGTCGTTGTTAATGTTTTCTTACTAATGGGTAGAATTAGCCTGAACGACGGGCGACAATCTTACATGGATCATGTCTCTCCAGAAGTAATCTTGAGTATCTTATCTCCTAAAGTTTGTAGCCCTGTGGAGAGAGAGAGAGAGAGAGAGAGAGAGAGGGGGGGGTGGGGGGGGGGCAATTTAACTGCTTGGGAGCTTTGGGCATAGCGGCAGGGTACCGTAGGTCTTTCCCCTCCCTTCTCCCCTATCTCCCCGCACTATGGATATAGATCCTTTTTGTAAGCATTTGTTTATACATTTCTTATTATTTCAGATGTGTTTTTTTCCCCCACCATACAGCACACAATACTAGTAATTATTATTATTATTATTATGTGCAACAAGCTCAAGACCCGTCAGTAAAAGTACTTTTCCCACGCCTTTAGGCCTATAGAGCATATGGGGCTTAACCAATAATATTTGTATAGAACAGTCGGTACAAGATGCGTGATGTGGTCAGAATCACGCCGGTCGCCTTTACTTTCCGTTACTTCACTTGGTACCCACTCAAGGCTGGGTCGACCTGAGAGTCAAGGTCATTTTTGGAAAAAGTCCGGCTCCGCCAGGAAGAGAACCCACGCCCCTCCCCGCGCGCGAGTGTCTAGCCGCTACGCAACAGACTCAAGCTGACTAGAAAATTATAAGAGGCGGAGGATTTAAGCGCCCCCCCCCCCCCCCTCCTTACCCCCCCCCCCCCCCCCACACACACATCCCCACATTTTTTTTTTTACGTGGCGCCTGGTTTTGGATGTGTATTGCTAGAGCCATATTTTGGCACTCTTCCGAATGCCGGTCCCAAATTATTCACTGCGAAAAACATTCCGTTGACAGCCTTAAAAGGTTTTGTAGTAAAAACATTTAGGCCGTCATCACCAGTTTCCAATTTCTGCCGTTATTGCTCAAGAAGAAGAAGAATTTTCATGTGTTATGTTTATTTGAGCTGAAATGCTATAGAAAGATTCTCAGAATATCTTGAACGAAAAAGATGAGAAATACTAACATTTTACAAGATCTGAACATCAAGGAAGATTGGCTAATAAAACAGCATCCTTTCCCGAAAGCAGAAATATTTTGGTCATATAAAGAGACACGACGGATTGGGAAAAATTGTAGCAGAGGGCATGGTACCAGGAAGGAGGGACAGGGGCCGACCAGTGCGAAGATGCGCACAGGATTTAAGAGATATAAGTGACTCTTTGAGTATGAAAGTGCATGAGGCAGGAGAACTGGTGGGAGACCGAGTTTCTTTCAGGCAGACCGGGATGAGAGCGACGTTCTGCAAAGGACCTGCTACATGATGATGATGTTATGTTTATCCTGAAATGACAAATTCGCCGGCTAGAAATTCCAGTGTGGTAATCTAACATTGTTATTTACAACAGTTTAAATATTACACAAAAACACGTTACCTACTCGGGGGTGTCCTCTCAAAGCACTGAGCTAAACACGAACAACTTAGTCTTGTCTCCAAAAGATGACATTTGTTGTTGATTTGTTTCCTTCATTCAGCAATGACGTTATTAACCTTTCTCCGACCATCTCCTTTGGAGATGCAGATGAAGGGTTGCTCAAGGTCCTAGTAATAATAGTCTGTATTCAAGTGAAGGTTTGTGTTCCTAGACGTGATGGCGAACTTAGGGCCCTTATACACAGCCAGTAGTACCAGACGATCGATGGCAGTCATATTGCCTGGTGGAGGAGATTCGTGTGTCTCCGCATACAACTCGAGATGTAAATGACAGCGCCTTTCTGTCTCACCAGTGTCTTACTATCCCAGCATCTCTTGTTCGGCCCGACCCGGAGTCTGACCTTCTCGTGTTAATGCGATCGACCGAAGCCCGGACGAGGCTACCATCGATGTAGAGTGAGTGAAGATACTTGTAGTCATTGGGACTACAAGGATACTCATTAAGTACATCAACAGTGAATGCTGGCCGGGAACTTTCACACATTTCCGGACTGTATTCTGGAGAGGTTTTTCCACAGTTGGCAATGAAAGCAAACTGTGACCCCTGTCTGCGTGTTGTTCTATCAGTTTCTCCTGTTGGAAGCGGCGCCATTGAAATGGCAGAGACGTCTGGCATTGAATTCATGATTGCGAATAATTCGTTTGGGCTGATGCCTGACCAAAAGCATTTGATCACGCCGGTAATGGTCTCGGAGACTGTGGTACGTTCTTATTCAAGTGAAGAGTTTATAGCGGCACTAACCACAAGTGTTTTAATAGTTTATTTCTAATTCTTCTTTAACAATACTGCTTATGCCGTTTTGGGTCGCAGAGAGGAGTTATAAGTAGTTTCCTGTCTTTGGCTAGTTGCGCTGCTTGTGTTAATGCCATATTGCGTTTCTCTAGTGTCTCTTTTACTTCCTTCACGCGTCTCTATATTGGTCGAACTCTTGTCTTGTTGCCTGCTGTTCTCGAGTAGTATGCCCTAGCTGCTTGCGGATTTTGTGTGACCAGAATAACTCTGTTGTATTATCGATAGGCTCTAGGGAGCCGCGGTAGCATGACTAGACGCTTACCTGCATATGCGAAGGTCTAGGGTTCAAATGCGCATTGGGGCACTTCCCCTCCCCCACAAGTTTTTTTTTTTTTTTTTTTAAATTTTTATTTTATCTTCCTGGTGGACTGAGTCTACCATGGGTACCAGGTAGTGGTATTGGAAGTAAAAGCCGCCGGCACATTGACTACATCATCCATAGAGTACGGATTGGTATGTGAAACTATATGTCTGGCACTATGGGCCTGATGAGCCACTGGCGTAAAAAAGGGTCCATTACTTATGTTACAATAGCAGCCTGTGGAGGTTGTAGTTGAGCAGTAGTTGGAATGCTTGTCTCCGGCTCTATGGCCAGATACTCGAGTCAACGGTGAATCTAGGATTTTTTTTTTTTTAAACATTGAATTGGAATTAAAAGTCCACTCTCTCACTTAGTCGATCCTGTTCTACTTTGGGGTGGAGAGGTTTGGCACAGTGATCGCTAAATTTCTCAATCAGTTTTTAATTCCAATTCCACTGAGCTTGAAGCGGGTACCATGAAATGTACAATATCAAGAATGGTGTGTGTGGTTTGACCATATCATTTATCAAGCGCTGATTGATCTATAAAAAATAGGTGTCTCAAACGCTATACGCCTGAAGTCGTGGGAAAAACAGTTATGTACCTTTTTTTTTCTTTCTTGTAGTTTACTAAAGGAATCAGGGACCATTTCCCAAACATTCACCCGTTTTGTGTGTGTGTGTGTTTTTTTTTTTTTTCATTTAGGGCTAGACCTATATTTTATAGAACAATTGGTACTCGGTTGTTGTTGTGGTCGACTTCACACCGGCCGCCTTTAATTCCCAGGACCCTTCCGTGTACCACTTTAAAGCTGGGTCGACCTGGGAGCCAAAGTCGTTTTTTGAAAATATTCCGGCTTCGCCAGGACCTGAACCCACGACCTTCGGATTCGCAGGCAAGCTTCTAGCCGCTACACCACAGCGGCTGTCTGACTATAGGAGCAGTGGTAGATATATCACAGCTAGCGTGGTGTCATGTTTCTAACGGCACAGCTTTTGTTAGGCTGATCCAGCCTCATGAATCCCGTGACAGGGTCCAAACATGGCAGCTAAGGTAGCTTGGGGCCACCTCACATTTTATTATTATTATTATTGCGCAAGTAAACAAGAATTAAGCCGCCCCTTTCCCCGTCAATAAATTTTGAGGGAAGGGAACGGGAATGAAGAGCTGGGGCCTTGTTTAATCATGCATTATTATTATTATTATTATTTGTATTATTATTGCGCAGTTAAACAAAGCTTCGGGTCCCAACCTAAGATAATTATTAAGTGGTGTTCCTGGTGCTTGATCGGGGTGGCTGTGACCTAAGCATTTGGGGGGGGGGGGGGGGGGGGGCAGCCTCTCTCCCCTCCCTCCCCCGAGCTCGTAAGTTGACTAAGCCCGCCTCCCCTACCACGCTTTTTGTTTTTTCTAAGCCATATAAGAAGTTATCTTTTTTAAGTCCCCCCTCCCCCCCCCCCCCCCTTCCCCCTTTTTTTTCTTATCCTTGTATTTCAAATATATATGAAAATGATGATGCTGATGAGTAACGCTTAGGCGGACAAATTACGATTCGATTGAACTTTTCCTAAAGCCTACCGCCTTTCTCTAAAGCATCCCTGCTTTTCATAAAGCCATAAGATAAATCCTTTAATCCCTCAATAAAGGCAAAACGCAGAATCAACCAATCACGACACTTAACATGTAAATAAATTCAGAACGCCATTGGCAAAGATGGCCGCTGATAGATAGCAGTAATCAGAGTACAATGTATTATTTTCACCTCAGTATTTTCTGTGGATAAAATTTGATTACACTGGAGTCATGAGCGCCGGAAGCTACATCTGTTACCCACCCACCGACCTTACGCCGGAAGCCACATGGTGAATGTTGGGGTCTAATATTACCTTGTGGTGTTGAAAGAGTTAATGTGGTCGAGATTTCTGCATCTGCGCAGACCAAGGCATGATGATCAAGTGTGATCGGGCCCGATTGTCTGAGTCAGTCGGGGGATGGGGCCCGATTGTCTGAGTCAGTCGGGGGATGGGGCCCGATTGTCTGAGTCAGTCGGGGGATGGGGCCCGATTGTCTGAGTCAGTCAGGGGATGGGGCCCGATTGTCTGAGTCAGTCGGAGATTTGTCTGAGTCAGTCTGCGATTGTCCAAGGGGATGGGGCATGATGATCGGAATGGGGCCCGATGACTGGGCCCGATTGTCTGAGCCAGTCGGGGGATGGGGCCGTGGGAAAGTCGCTGCTGGTTCGTCAGGGATGTGCTGGGGCTTCTATAGGTCATGGTTGTCTCAATGTTTATGTTGATCTGTTTATCTTTCTGTTGATCTGTATGTCTGTATTTCTCTTCCTTTCCCTCTATTTTTCCTCACAGTATGTATATTGTTATATAAACATAGCATGGTTTTAAAGATAAAACACGATTGCAGTATGACAGATGAGTGTTTGGAAGGGCCAAATGAAGACGGGCCTGTGTGCCCAATTTAAAATCGTTTAAAAAAAAAGTTCGTTCGTTCGCTGTGTTCTCTCTCTCTCTCTCTCTCTCTCTCTCTCTCTCTCTCTCTCTCTCTCTCTCTCTCTCTCTCTCTCTCTCTCTCTCTCTCTTCCTATCATATCACCCCTCCTCTCACTCTTTCTCTCTTCCTCTCCCTACCATATCTATCTCTCTCTCTCCCTATCATATCACCCCCTTCTATCGCTCTCTCTCTCTCTCTCTCTCTCTCTCTCTCTCTCTCTCTCTCTCTCTCTCTCTCTCTCGCTCACGCACACAGGCAAATTACAGTTCTCCTTTCCTACCCACCAGAGAGTAACACACTGGCCGCTATTGACTTCAGACCTTCATCACATATTTGCTTCTACTTAAACCTTCGCAATCCAGCCTTTGTCCGTTCACCAGACAGCTTCCGCTAAAGAATACAGCATTTCCATTTCTGTGCCGTTCAAATCAAACATACACTACATTACTAAGCGCGGCGTTAGAACGTATCGGGGTTTATTCGCCCGGTTCCCCTGTCTGGTGACTTCGCTGAACACACGACAATGGAAATACTTGTCTTTGATGTCAAAGACACTTGATAGAAATCTGGATCGATTTACTTCACTTTCCTCACACTCGGTCTGGGAGAAATTTAACAAGGGCTAATTATCTCCCCCAGACACTTGACCAAATATTATTGGACGAATCTTGAGAATGTGAGTTTTCTTGGTGTTCTGAAGATGATATATATGTGTGTGTGTGGCCACAAGAGTTGGATGTTGTTACGGAAGTATAAATAGGGCGACGAGGAACGAACTACTAGGCTGTCAAAGATATGAGTTGTTTAGGTACTTACCGGTGTTCTCGGAAAATATTTGAGATAAATTGGACAGTACTTTTATTTGGGCTGGGCAGTTATTTGGGTGGTCGGTTGGTTTTCATCTTCTTCTTCATCGTTTTATTATTATTATTATTATTATTTGTATTTGCCCCGTGTGGGTTCCGAGGTCCTATTTTAGGGAAAACAAGAAAAAGTCCACTGCATGTCGTAGGAGTCGATTAATTGGAAGGTTCCTTCGAAATCGGGCGCATCTGCCCGGCAAGGGAAAAACTAACTGCACGCAAATAAGCCAGTACAACGGAAGTACACTCAAACCTCAGGCCCTAGCACAAAGCCAAAGTCCAAACTTAACCAAAAACCAAAGACTTTCCACCGAAAAGCAACACACATCACTTGTTATCTTGTCTGGTAGTCTGGTAGTCTTAGTTTCAGCTTCATAGCAAACGGGTCGCCCCATCTTTGCTCCGCTCCTGTGCCAGCGAAAAACACCCAGAATGTTTATCAAGTGGAAAGATTGACAGACTGCTGTCTCAGCATAAGCATACACTCGCATTAACGCATATGGTAGCCATCCGAAGTGCTAACACAAACAGTCCAACATTAGAAATGTAGTTCATCATTGATGATAGCAGAACTTGTCGCCAACAGATCAGCAGTTGCAGTTGCCCGGGCGATCAATTTTAATACGGGTCCCGCCAGCATTGCACGACCGGCATCGCGCCATTTTCTGAATCTACAATTCACACCACGTTGGTCACAGTCGAAAAAACATTCCAAATGCAATCCGCAGCTCACAGGGTCACGCCATGCATTCAACTCAGAAACGAAACTATATCCAGTCTACAAATGGAGCAAAAATACTGCGGCCACCGTCCGGCAGAAGCAAAAAATTTTGCAACAGCAGCGTCCTTTTAACCGGAAGTGTTATCTTGTATCAGACATCTTGTGTTATCTTATATCAGACATCTTTTGTAATCTTATATCAGACATCTCTTGTTTTCTTCTTTCAGACATCTCTTGTTAACTTATATCAGACATCTTTTGTTATCTTATATCAGATATCTTTTGTTATCTTATATCAGACATCTTTTGTTATCTTATTTCAGACATCTCTTGTTATCTTATTTCAGACATCTCTTGTTATCTTATATCAGACATCTTTTATTATCTTACATCAGACATCTCTTGTTATCTTTTATCTTGGATGAAGTTGTAGTTTATCTTCTACCGCCCCCCCCCCCCCCCCCCCCCCCCCCCCCCCCCCCCGCCCACACCCTTTTTTTCATCCCAGCTATTATTATTCTCGCATACTTTCTTTGTGGGTTCCAAGGACCCACTGTGGGTGTGTGTGTGGGGGGGGGGAGAACAAGAATAGACCTGCCTCCTCAGCAAGCATGTTGTAAGAGTCGATTGATTGGGGGCTTCCTTCGAAGTCAAAATGCATCTGTGTGAGAGGCAAGGAACCAACAGTCAGCATGCAGATGTGCTAGATCTGTTAAACGGATTCCACTCAACACTCCAGTTCTGGCACAAAACTAAAGATTCTCGCACACATCTTTCTCAGGCTTCCTCGGCATCTCTTGCCTAGTATTGCCTCCTCCCCACCCCACTCAAGACTAATTACGTTGATCCAACTGTTTCGTTGGTATGCCTCATTAATATTAAGTTACTCTTTCCTTACGCTTCTAATAAGTGCGCCATAACACAAGTGCCGTTTAAAATCCTGGCCATTTTCTGGTTTCACAGAGAGCATGCCGGAGCGTGACCCCACAAGTGTGTCTTCCGGCCAAAGAATGGTGCCTTCACTGGACGTTCAGGCAAGGTGGTCTCAAGCCGGTCAGGATGGTCTACAAGAGGTGCAGTGTGCTAGTCTGTTCAGTTTGTGCATGGTGGTTTTGTGTGTGTGTGTTTGTGCGGTGTTGCACTGTGCGTCTGGTAGGATGTGGCGTTTGAAAGAATAGTTGCTGCTTTTCTTTTGTATCTGTATTTCTGTATGTCTTTCTGCCTGTCTGTTCATCCGTCTGTCTGTCTGTCTGTCTGTTCATCCACCCACCCGCCCGTCCATCCATCTGTCAGTCCATCTGTCTTTCTGTCTGTCCGTTCGTCTGTCTGTCTGCTTTTTGTTGTGGCTCATTGTCTTTCTTTTATTTCTTCTTCTGCTTTCTAAAAACATATATTCTCCAAATGCGTTCTGACTTGTGCCTCCTTTCATGTTCGTGTAATTGTGGGTTGGCTACTCAGTGGGGTTTCTAACAAGTATGTTTCTCATTTTGTGCAATAATAAGTACAGATTGTTTTAGCCACTACACAATAACCCTTATTTTTTTTTTCCCAACTTCTTTGCTCTTCTCTATGTGTGTACTTGTTACACACAAACAATCACCCTCACTCTTTGACGTCCTCTCTCATACCTTTATTTTTTTATTCTCTCATATCCCCTCACATAGTGCCACACTTGTTTACTCTCTCTTTCACGCGCACACCACACACTCTCTCTCTCTCTTTTCACTCACTCCCTGCATTATTGTCTCCCGTCACTGTGTTGTTGTTTCTAGCTACTGTGACTTCAGTTTGTGTACATCTGCAAATACATAGACTGCCACACACACAAAAAAAGAACACCTTCCAATTACTGCTTGTATATGCCACTTTTGCTGTGCATGCAGGAGGGTCTTTGAGCTTGCTGATCTAGGGCTCCTTGGCTAGTGCTTGTCGCTAACGACTGTGGAAGTTTTAGGATTTTATTTTAAATACAGAGACATCAGTCTTGTATTAATCTCCATTGCGAATCTGTATTGTTGTTTGTTTGACTTGCACAGTTTTGATATCTGTTTTCTTTTTCTCTATCCCTTGCCTTGCTCCTGCAGCCTGAAGGTGATGCGGCCCATTAGTCTGAACCTCTACAGACTGTACATCAACATTGAATGCTCACAGGTAAGCAGTGAACACACATCTATCAACACCATTACAACTACATTAAGGTCTTTTTTTTTGAATCCACATTTTCCCTGTATGGGCTCCGGGGCCCTATTTTGGGGAACAAATAGAATAGACCAACTGCCTCCTTAAGTGTGTTGTGAAGGCGACTAATTAGGGAAGTTTCCTTCAAAGTCACCTGGGGGGTGAGGAACCAACACTCTGCTTACAAATAAGCTTCATCTGTAAAACAGATGTGCATGCAAAACTGAAGTTCTTGAACGAGACCTAAGTCCAGAAGTGGACGAGCAACCAGAACTTTCAACAAGTTTACAGCCTGTAAACAGTAAGAAGAAGAATCCGAATAAAGCCAGATTTTTACATGATAAATAACATTGGCACCCAGGGTGATTAAACCTAAAATGGATGTCAAGAAATATCATGGGAGGTAAAAGCGGCCAGCATAATGTTGACCACATCGATCGCCGACCTCATCCGATCTGGGTTGTTGAGAATCGGCTTCTGAAAAACGTCAGCGACTGTGGCTTAGGAGGAGCGACTGTGGCTTAGGAGTTGCGACCGCGCTTGTTGTGTGGGGTTCCATACCAGCTACAGGCAGTTCGGCCGCAGATCATTCTGTGTTGGTTTTAACAGTGGTATCGAGAACTGGCCGTTCTGACATCAGTGACAAACTACTGAACGTAAATTTACCTAGAAAAACCACAACAGCCGAAAAATGCCGGGGTTGGTTCTGCAACCTTCAGTAATGGACACGCATGTAACATTTTAGCCGGAATGATATTCTAGGATACATAACTCAACGAAATTACTTTACGAGTTTATTGTTGGGTTTACTTCCCTTGTATTGCGCGAGTGTTTTTGTTGGTGGAATTGTTTTAAAATAAATTTTTATAACCATTCCGATGAGAATCACCCAGGCCAAGTCCCAGAATCTTCATTCAAAAGTTAAGTTGTTGTAGGGCTTCCCGACGACAGCTGGGTTGGGGCTTTAAAATAAATTTTTAAAAAAAAATTGCGTCTCATACTGGGGCGGATATATTTTGTCATTGTGTATGATGAAACCTTTCCAAGCCACAAGAAAAAGACTCAAGAATGTTTTCCAATTATCTTTGGCTTTTGTGTGTGTGTGTCAAATTTTATTTGCATACGCAAGCATGCAGGCAAGCACACATATACATGTCAGTATTCTTTGTAAATTGTCTCCTTGTGTACTTTAACACTTAGTTGTCTCTTTTGTTACTTTTAAATTTAATTTTACTGAAACTAGACTTGTGTAGACTTGATATATGTTATTTTCTTCATGTATTATCAAACTTGTGAACTCATGTATGTGTATCCTTATCCATATACCAACATACTTGTGAACTCATGTCTGTGCATCCTTATCCATATACCAACATAATTGTGAACTCATGTCAGTGCATCCTTATCCATATACCAACATACTTGTGAACTCATGTCTGTGCATCCTTATCCATATACTAACATACTTGTGAACTCATGTCAGTGCATCCTTATCCATATACCAACATACTTGTGAACTCATGTCAGTGCATCCTTAACAATATATCAACATACTTGTAACTCATGTCAGTGCATCCTTATCCATATACCAACATACTTGTGAACTCATGTCAGTGCATCCTTATCCATATACCAACATACTTGTGAACTCGTATCAGTGCATCCTTATCCATGTACCAACATACTTGTGAACTCATGTCTGTGCATCCTTATCCATATACCAACATACTTGTGAACTCATGTCAGTGCATCCTTATCCATATACCAACATACTTGTGAACTCATGTCAGTGCATCCTTATCCATATACCAACATACTTGTGAACTCATGTCAGTGCATTCTTATCCATATAACAACATACTTGTAAACTCATGTCTGTGCATCCTTATCCATATACCAACATACTTGTAAACTCATGTCTGTGCATCCTTATCCATATACCAACATACTTGTGAACTCATGTCAGTACATTCTTATCCATATACCAACATACTTGTGAACTCATGTCAGTGCATCCTTATCCATATACCAACATACTTGTAAACTCTTGTCTGTGCATCCTTATCCATATACCAACATTCATGTGAACTCATGTCAGTGCATCCTTATCCATATACCAACAAACTTGTGAACTCATGTCAGTGCATCCTTATCCATATACTGACATACTTGTTAACTTTTGTCTGTGCATTCTTATCCATATACCAACATACTAGTAAACTTTTGTCTGTGCATCCTTATCCATATATCGACATACTTGTTAACTCATGTCTGTGCATCCTTATCCATATACCAACATACTTGTTAATTCGTTTCTGTGCAACCTTATCCATATACCAACATACTTGTTAACTCATGTCTGTGCAACCTTATCCATATACCAACATACTTGTTAACTCTTGTCTGTGCAACCTGATCCATATATTGACATACTTGTTAACTCTTGTCTGTGCATCCTTATCCATATATCGACATACTTGTGAACTCATGTCTGTGCATCCTTATCCATATACCAACATACTTGTTAACTCTTGTCTGTGCAACCTTATCCATATACCAACATACTTGTTAACTCTTGTCTGTGCAACCTGATCCATATACCAACATACTTGTTAACTCTTGTCTGTGCAGCCTGATCCATATACCGACATACTTGTTTACTCTTGTCTGTGCAACCTGATCCATATACCGACATACTAGTTAACTCATGTCTGTGCATCCTTATCCATATACTGACATACTTGTTAACTTATGTCTGTGCATCCTTATCCATATACTGACATGCTTGTTAACGCATGTCTTATCCACAGCTGGAACCAGACCTCAAGTTAATACGATCAGCCTTTGAGGAAGCTCTAACTGAATTTGGCCAGAATGAGCCAGGTAATGATGAGTGTGTGGAATTAATTCTTACTGGCTGTTGAGAACATATCCCAGACGGTGTTTGTTTGTTCCATTGTACAACATGAATCTTAATCCTTTCTTATTGTACTTCTTTTTTTTTTTTTTTTTTGTTTCTATATTTTCTTCTTAGCGTTCACCAGCTGTAAACTCCGGCAGAAAGTTCTGGTTGTCAGTGCTCTTTGGGACTTTGGTTTTGTGTTCCAGAACTTGAGTTTTGCATGTTTTACAGATCTAGCTTATTTGTATGCAGACTGCTTGTTCCTAGCCGCTCGGGCAGAATCACTGACTTCAGTGGAAACAACTCTTTTTAGTTACCTTTTATGACATACTTGTTGAAGGGGTGGTGTTTCTGTTCTTATTTTATCCACAATTGGGGCCTGGAACCCCCACGAGGATGTCATTATACATAAATAGCAGTCTTGAGTCTCAGAACATGTTGATCCCTGCATATGTTTGGGTGTTCTCTTAGTCACATTTTCTGAGCCAGGTCTTGGTCAGATATGACAGCTACTGTAAACACCAGGTCTTGGTCAGATATGACAGTTACTGTAAACACCAGGTCTTGGTCAAATATGACAGCTGCTGTAAAACACCAGGTCTTGGTCAGATATGACAGCTACTGTAAAACACCAGGTCTTGGTCAGATATGAGAGAGCTACTGTATAACACCAGACCTTGGTCATATATGACAGTTACTGTAAACACCAGGTCTTGGTCAAATATGACAGCTGCTGTAAAACACCAGGTCATGGTCAGATATGAGAGAGCTACTGTATAACACCAGACCTTGGTCATATATGACAGAGCTAATATATTACATGAGGTATTGGTCAGATGTGACAGCTGCTGTGTAACACCATGTCTTGGTCAGATATGAAAGCTACCGTATAACCGCAGGTTTTGTTCATATATGACAGCTACTATATAACACTAGGTATTGGTCAGATGTGACAGCTCAAGTCTGTATCCATTAGGGGATACCAACTGCTCCCTGTTAATACAGAATGTTGTCAGGCAGCATATACCAAACCTGGCAAAATATGGCACTGTTGTTTGGAAAGATGAAAACAGCAACTTTTTTGTTATCATTTGGAGTTATTTGTGGTGAAATAGTCAAATTATTTGTCTTGTACTCACAAGGTTGTGGGCTTATTTGTGGACTGTCAGTAAGTAAGTTCAGAATTGCAACTTTTTCAATGGTTCCTGTTGTCCCCACTGGAGCTACAAAGTGTGCACTCTAAGTGAAAGTCTTAGCTGGTGGATAAGCATACTACCGAGAGAGACTGAGCATTTCTGTCTGTCTGTCTGTCTGTCTGTGTCTGTCTGTCTGTCTGTCTCTCTCTCTCTCCTCCCTCTCTCTCCCCTCCTCTCTCCTCCTCTCTCTCTCTCCTCTCTCTCTCCCTCTCTCTCTGTTTTTTTTTTTTTAATTTATTTCTATATTTGAAGATCAGTAAAATGTCCTAATTAGTGACTAGTAAGCAAGTAACTAAAGGGCTTTTTAAAAAATTAAATTGGCTAATGGTCGTGCTACACTGATTTTTTTTTGTTTTTTTTAATCCTTCCAGTCCCACTGTGTGTTTTTAGTACATTCTAAAGATAATTTAATTTACCAGGTAGCTTCTATAAAGAAGAATGTTATCTACTGTCTAAATTACTAGCTTAACTTTTTATGTCTTGTAGTGTGCTAAACTCCTTAGGGTTCAGTTATTTACTGCTTTTAAATTAAACACTGAGATAGAATTAGCAATGTCTGTTTGAGAGTTAGGGAGTTAATATAGAGTCAGCACTCAATGGGTGATGTAATCAACATCATGCTGGCTATATTTGAGGCTCAACTATTATTTCTGCTTTAAATTTGCTTGTTATTTGGCCCTAGATTGGTGGCTTAACTGCCCCCCCCCCCCCCCCCCAATAGTTTCTAGATGTGATTTATTACTCAACAACTAAAACTTTTTATGTGACAGTTTCTTATCATTTGTCCTGGCTGTGAATTTAGAACTAACATTTTCTTGTAATTTGTCCCTATATCTGTTATTCAAGATTTATCTTTATCTTTATCTAACAATTTCTCATTATTCATCCCTAGATTTGTGGCTGAACTACATGGAAATGGAAAAAGTAGTGGCCAAAGAAACTGCAAAGTCAGCAGTTATACACCAGAGGGCGCTGCATGGCCTGGACCCTCATTTAAAAGAGAGCTTTATCAGGAAGCAAGTCATGCTTGGTCTCGGATGTTAGAGTTGACATTGATGGACATGTTCGTTAGCTGTAGTATTGTTGTGATTTTTTTTTCCAAAAATTAAGTTCTTATTTTATATGTGCAGAATTTAACAGGCAGACTTTTGTCATTTTATGTGTATTAAAAAAAAAAAATAGTTAAATAGGTCAGAGAAAAGGTAAATCAAAATTGCTAGACATTTAAGGAGACATAATTTGTTACATAAATTAGGGACTGCTTATATATATGGATACTACATTGATCTCTTTGTTGATTTTAAATATTTAAGCAATCACTAACTTGCTATAACAGTTGGGGAAAAAAAAACTATTACTTTTTTATGAAAAATGTAAGCACAGAACTTGAGGTCTGACATTAGGATTATAATCAGTATTGCTGCAAGTTTGTGTTTTATTATCATGTTTGTGTATGTGTGTGCATTTGAAACAGCTGAAGCTTATTTTATTTTAGACTTATGAAAAACCTGAGAGGGCTAAACCTGGCATCAGTTGTCTGCAGATGTCAGCCGAAAAACACACAAATGGCAGCATATTGTAAATGCGTACAGCACATTTGTATCTTTGGATGAGCGTAGAAGAGAAAGAACACATATAAAAACTGAAATAAATTTCCTTATGATACCACAAGTTTTTCTGAGTTATGTTTCTTTTGTTTATTATGGTATCTTTTGTGCATGTTTTTTTTTTTTGTTTCAGATTGAGTAATCCATATGTTTTGAAATAGATTAATACAGTGTTTCCTTTTTGGTGGTGATACATATTTTATTTATTTGAATGATATGTTTTTGAAATCCTTGCACACTAGGATTTTTTAATTAATGGATCTGTGACCCAGCTTAAAATGGGTACCAGGATGGGCTGTCCTGGGAAGGTAAAGACAGCCGGCGTAATGCTGACCACATTACCCTCTGAGTGCTGATGGTCTGTAAAAATATGGGACGCTCTGCCCATATGCCCGATGCGCCGAAAGGCGTGAAAAGGGATCTTTACTTTTTTTTTTTTTTTTTTAATTATCATTAATACACTATTTATATTTTGAGATCATTATCTTCCCTGTAGCGACATACAGATGTCAGATGTGGACTATCTAGCAGTCATAAAGGAAAGAAAGTAGAGGCTTTTGAACTGAAATGCTATAGAAGGATTCTCAGAATACCAGGGACCAAGAAGAACAGAAATACTGACATTCTAAAAGATCAGAACATCAGAAAGAAAGTAAACAACTTATTGTCTAGGAAACTAAAATTATTTGGCCATATCAAGCATCACGACAGATACAGCAGGGCTTTATTTTTCTAGAGAAAAAAAAGGTTAAGTATCAGTACCCATCCACAAAGTCTCCAAAGTAAAAGGGACTGGTGCTGAATGAAAAGTGCCTACTACAAAATCGCTGGAAAATATTATGTCTCAGAAAATATACTGGTACTGTATACCATTACATGCCGCCAGAAAAAAAAAAAAAATTCATTGGATGATAATGACTTGCACAATGACTTATATTTTAGTGAGGAGTTGCTTAATACATCGGCCTCACACTCCCACCTGTGTCCATCTTGATCCAGTGGTAGACCAGAAACGGACCTAAGTGCAGTGGATGCAGAAGGTATTTTTAGTACCCAGCCTTGCTTGAAGCTATCCACAAAGCATGCTGGTAATAACTTTTTTGGTCATTGAACCACACTTGGTTACTTCACTGGCGGTTCTCCATTTGGGTTTCTGGACCCCATTTTCAGGGAGAAACGAACAGACCCACTGCCCTCTCCTCCCTTAACAAGCAGATTGTAAAAAGCGACTAATTAGGAATGTTTCCTTCAGAGTCATAATGTACCTGCCTGAGAGGGAAGCAACCAACAGTCTGCATACAAATATGTCAGATCTGTAAAATGGATGTGCATGCGAACCTCAAGTTCTGGAAAATGATAAATTCCAGAAGTGGACGAGCAACCAGAACGTTCTGTAAGAGTTTACAGCTATTGAAGAGTAAGAAAATGAAGATGACAGTATTTCATTCATATTGGAGAGGGGGGGGGGGGGGGGGGGGGTAAGTCCTCAGACATGTGCATTTATAGTTACTTGGTCAGTACTGTGACGGCAGTCTGCACAGGTAAGGATTTCATTTTTGCCCCAAACACAAAACAAACCCATAATCTTGCCTAACAATTTAAAAATGGGTTTTGCATATGAGAACCCAGAGTACGTAACTGCTTAATCACACCATCTGCTTTTACCCCGGGATATTTCCTGCCTTGCATTTTCTGCTGACTTAGCATGGGAAGGCTCACACAGTTGAACGGAGATTCCAACCTTTGACCACAAAACTGGCAGCCAAGAATGCTAACACTGTGCCACCTTGGCTCATATTATAAGAATATGATACCTGATAAACATACAACATTCTGCAATCAGGGTAACTCAGTTTTATGAAACTTTAAACCATACGCAGACATACACACATAAATATGTCAGTCAGCAAATATTTTGAACATCAGCTAAAAATTTATTAAAATGATAAAACAGAATACGCTCAGAAACGCAAGGTTTCACAGACATTGTAAAAGCTATCTATGTCGTAACATCTCGTCAGTTAAAATATAAGGGTAACTAAAGTCAGCAGTATTGTACTGCAAGACCTGCTGTTTTGTGCTGGTATTGATAATTGGCCAGCACTTCTGTAATGGTATTGAAACAAATCGTTGTTGCAATGATATGGATAAGAATCAGTACTGTAGTAATCGTCTTGAAAAGGGTCAGAAATTGTGTACTGTATATTGTACTGTAATAGCTGTGTTACTGAGATATTAATATCCCTGTGTGTGCACCAGGGCTCCATTTCGAACAACAAAGAACAGACCCACTACAAGCATGTTGTAGGAGGCAACTAATTAGGGGTGTTTCCTGTGAAGTCAGAATGCATCCGCCTGAGAGGCCATGAACTAACAGTCTCCATACAAATAAGCCATATCAGTAAAATGGATGTGCATGCAAAACTTCAGTTTTGGACCACGACCCAAGTCCAGAAATGAATGAAAGACCAAAATTTTCTGCCAAAGATTACAGCTGGTGAACGCTAATAAGGAGAAGAAGATATATTAATAGTTATAATCAAGTTGTTGCAGAAAGCAATGGCAAACTACTGGACGAAAATTTGCTTAGAAAAACTACAACAGCCAAACTGGGGTTGGTTCTGCAACTTCCTGTACAGGATTTGCAACTAATTTTTTAAAATAATAAATGCTGCGTATGCTTTTCAGGACATTACAGAACCAGACCCAGCATTTGTTGTGTGTGCTGTTGTTTGGAATTTCACTAGACAATTTGAACTTTTAGTAGTTTGCTTACTAAACGGTTAGCTTTTTAAACCACTGTCAAAACGAATGCTAGGTGCCCTGCTGCCAACCGCCCACAGCTTCGATTAAACCCGCCGCCTAGGAATTATGAAGCCCAATCACAACATTCAAGCCACAGACGCCGACATTGATAAATTAGAGCCATCAATTAAGGTCAAGTTTTGGAGACTTTGGTGAAAGAGAGAAGAGTAAAGCATACAAGAAATATTGTACCATTTTCAAAATAACACTGGTCAACAAAGAAATACAATCGGACATTTGCTTAAATATTTAGGCCTTCATTACGGAAATTTTTATTTCATGTCTGAAGAAACACAGAAAGCATCTGCAAACATGCACACACACAAAATAATAATCATGATTCAGACTGAAATATTCTCTCATTGTCTAGAACAGTGGCTGTCAACATTTCCTAAGCTGTGACCCTTTAATACAGTTCTGTCATGCCGTGGTGACCCTCAAACAATTATTTTCCTTCATAATCAACAAATATGTGTTTTTGAATAGTCTTAGGAGACCCCTGTGAAAAGGTCATTCAACCTAAAAAAAATGGTGACGACCCGCAGGTTGAGAACCGCTGGTCTAGAATATAATACACTTCAAAACTGACTGACTGACTTTCTACCCCACCAGGACATCACACAAACGATAAACACCCGATGACACAATGTGCCACCATGTGGGTGAGGATCACCATGGAGAGGTCCCAGAAACCGCGTTCAGCCTTTAGGCCATATTTATGACCAGACTATATTGCGGCCCCTGGCAAAAGCCAGAGAAGGGCTTCAAATAATGAAAAATTTTTACCTAAAAAGGATGGTATTGATTAATATACACTTCTAAACTATACAATAGTACTTTGTTGTATTTAGATTAATCAAATGTTCTGCTTTAACGAGGTCACCTAAGAGAAACCTTCAAATGATCTATTATGAGTAGGCCAAAGGTGCAGGACTGGGTTCTATCCATGATATTGGAAGGATTGTGCAGAATAGAGTGAAGGAGAAGAACAGACTATGCGCCCTATGTGACATATAAACAGCACAATAGGATGATGGTAATGAATATTCAAATGTTTGCATATCATACTACACAGTAGTGTCCCTTTCTGCTGTATGCATATCACAATACAGTCAAATATAATTTTCTACTATGTTCAAATCACATTAAACAGAGTGCAGTTGTCTGCTTTATGTATATCACATTACAGAGTAGTGTAATTTCTACTTTTCTTGACATGGGCGGATCTTGCTAGTCACATTTGCCATTGCCAAGGGCTGTGAGTCCCATGCCTCCTCATATCGCAATATAACACTATCGTCTGGAAAGACGGAAAGGTGCCAATCAATCGATTTCTACTTTATGTATATAACATTATAGCATAGTTAAACAGTTTTTGACTTTATTAATATAATGATGTAAAGTCATAGTTATTTTCTACAATATAGATATCACCTAATAGAGAAGGTATGTACTATGTATTTTCTACTTTCTTGACTCCTTAAATCACATCATAAAGTAGTGTTTTTGTTTGTGTGTGTGTGTGTGTGTGTGTTTTTTTTTTTTTTTTTTTTTAAATAAAGCGCTGCTAAAGTTGATAAGGATTGTGACACCGGCACACTGTCATGACCCAGAGGATGCAGTTTGGGAACCAGTGCCTGGAGAAATACATTGTCTCATGCAATGTTAAACACTTTCTTTTTTTCTTCGGTTTTTTTTTTCCCGTGCGTGCGTACGTGTGGGTGTGTGTGAAGATCTTGTTCCAAAACAGAACAAGAGAAGTTTATTAGCTGTTTTTGTCTTCCAACCCGCAGTACTTAGGTGTCTGTCTTTCTGCCCTGTGCCAGTAATACTCAAGTCCTTAACAACAGTTGTTTCGTTCCATATTTGCTCCTTTAGCAGGAGTGAGATATGCATGTAATTACTATAATCCCCATTGACATTTTCCATTTGCAAAAGAAAAATCTATTATTTTACTATTTATTATAACTGTTTACTCTTTATTACAAATACACACTCAGCTTATGTCTCTCCAAGCACATAAAGCTTGTTAACAGCATTAACATACACTCATTACATACTTACACCACTTATGCAGACACTGTAACTTGTGAGAGCTACCAGATACTATTACTACAGTGCTAGCTGTGCATGCATACTCTCCACTGTAAAGCAACGAGAAGGAAAGTATCAACATAATACCCCCTCCTGTGTTATAGTTATCTACTAATGCTTAACTCTGTCTAAACCGCTTGCACATTGATGGTGCCTTGCCACTGTTTTTTTAGCCATTTCTAAAGCATACTTTTTTTTTTAGTATCCAGAAGCCATGAGTTGTTAAACCTTAGGCTCGGTATTATGCATATCGCATTTCTAAAGCATACTTTTTTTTTTTAGTATCCAGAAGCCATGAGTTGTTAAACCTTAGGCTTGGTATTATGCATATCGCAACCCTTCAGCCTTGATTCCATGATAAATACCGTAAATCTGGGAAAAATGTGGCTTTTCTGCCTACCCCCGGGTGTGAACCCGGACCACAAGGAGTTCGTCACCCGGTCACCGCGCAGTTCGATTTAACTACACTAGCGAGCCAGGCATATACTTATGTTTCAAATATCAACTCTACAAAAAAATATAAACAAAGCACACATTTCCTAAGACAAATTACTAAGAAGTATTATCAGTGTTTCTTGTATAACAGGTAAATGAACAGTTGATATCAACATGAACAAAAACAGTCATCAGTTACAGGATAGGGAATCTTTGTCCATTTACACTTGAGGTCCAAAGTTCTTTGCCGTTCTTTCCAGGGTGTTCTGCTCCAGTTCTCCGTATCATTGCTACCATCATCTTCGTTATCTGCTTTCTTATTACCCACACTGTTGTGTGGTTTATCCCCAGGTCTGCCATGTTTAGCATCATCAGAAATGCTTGTCATGTCTTTATGTTTATCATGAAACGACTGTGACTTTTGACGGTGATGTTTTTCTGTATCTTTATTTTGTTTATTGTTTACAAATTCACTCTGGTCACGGCGTGTGGTTTCTGAAGGTTTCTGTAAACTGTTGTTTTTAATTTGTATGTTTTCAATGTTCAGAATTTTTTCAAGTTGTTGAACATCCTGAACTGAAATGTTCAGTCCTTTACCAAGATGCTTCATCAAATCCTGGTTATCTGTAGCATGCTGAGCTTTTGTCATGTTTTTCTGGGATGACGTAGGCAGACTTCGAGGCGACATCATTCCAGGCAACTTGAACCTGTTGAAGTTATTTAGAGCTTTATTACTTCGGCATTGCCAGCGAAGAATCTTCAGCCGTCTGGCTTTGGCGGGAACACAGTGCATGCCGGGTGGCCATGAGCAGGGTGAGAATTTGGGTATTTTTGACGCAGTTTCAGACCCCAGCTTGAATAGTGGAGTGTCTTTTATAGAGCACATGCCTATTCTGACCCAGCGTGGCCAATAGAGCAGACCCAGGTCTTCCCATCTGTAATATACAGGACAAGAGGATTTCTGCATAAGCCAGGATTTCACCACTTCTAAAACATCTGAAGTCATATCACTGCCACCATTCTTGTTCCCGGTACCACTACTGCTACCATCACCTCTGCTGCCATTTTCACTGCTAAATTTGGCATGCAGGGTGTGTTCCAGTGAAGTCAGGTTGAGCGTGTGAAGTTGCTCCTGTAGGGACGTGTCCAGCTTCTGTTTAACGTGTGTCTCTAGAAGATCATCAGGGAGATCCACTGACATCCAGAAGGAATCAAAGTCACTTCCAAGTCGCTTCAGCAGTTTTTTAGGCTGAGGAAATATCAAAAACATTTGGTCAGTTCTGATGGGTCTGTACTGAATGTGGGCTGTCTTAGGAAAAGTAAGGCACTCTTTTCCACATTTCAGGTGTACTGGGTGTAAAACGTTTGACCTATATTTTATAGACCTGTCAGCACGGGGTGGGTGGCATGGTCAGCACTGGCCACCTTTACTTCCCATGACCTGGTACCCGGCTGAGGTGACCAAGGTCATTTCTGAAAAAAAGTCTGTCTTCACCCCAGAACAAGAACCCACAACCTTTCAATCCGCAGGCTAGTGTCTAGTCGCTACACCATGACAGCTCCCTATGGGATGTCTGATACAAACTAAATTAGGAGTTGTTGGAAATAGTTTAAACTCATGTAAAAAAAAAACTACTGAGATCTATAGAACCCTAAAGATGAGTCCAGTTATAGACAATCATGTGGGGATGAAGTGGAATCCATTCTCAACTGTCTCGGATCAGAGCAAAAACAGAATGTTTTCTGTGCTGGCCCCAGATGTCAAAGATCGTTCAAAACCAGCCTGCCACGAAATTTTAGAAACGCAACAGTGAAATATTTGTAACTGGTAAATCTAGCATGCAAAGGGAGATAACACAGGACCTTTCAAGAGGTACTAAACCAGTTAATTAACTCCCCTAAAGTCTGGTCTTTAACTTCTAACAAATGAAAGTATAGTCAGTCACTTGGTATAGGTTTGATGATTGATGAGAGCAGTCCATAGGACATATGCTGGGAAAACCTGGGCATAGTATAACAAAAAGGGCTTCAAACTGGATCCCACAGGGGCATGGAAATAAAAACAAACAAAAACTTGCATGAATAAGGGAACTAGAGAGTGAAATTAAAAAATATGTGACGAGCATGGGGGGAACCTGAACATCAAGGAAAATTGGCTTGTAAACAGCATCCTCTTCCAAAAGCTGGGGTACTGGAGATGTCAAGCGCCAGGGTGGTGTGGAGAGAACGGTGATGGAGAGAGGTGGTGGTGTGGAGAGAACGGTGATGGAGAGAGGTGGTGGTGTGGAGAGAACGGTGATGGAGAGAGGTGGTGGTGTGGAGAGAACGGTGATGGAGAGAGGTGGTGGTGTGGAGAGAACGGTGATGGAGAGAGGTGGTCGTGTGGAGAGAACGGTGATGGAGAGAGGTGGTGGTGTGGAGAGAACGGTGATGGAGAGAGGGTGGTGGTGTGGAGAGAACGGTGATGGAGAGAGGTGGTGGTGTGGAGAGAACGGTGATGGAGAGAGGTGGTGGTGTGGAGAGAACGGTGATGGAGAGAGGTGGTGGTGTGGAGAGAACGGTGATGGAGAGAGGTGGTGGTGTGGAGAGAACGGTGATGGAGAGAGGTGGTGGTGTGGAGAGAACGGTAATGGAGAGAGGTGGTGGTGTAGAGAGAAGGTGATTGAGAGAGCTGGTGGTGTGGAGAGAACGGTGATGGAGAGAGGTGGTGGTGTGGAGAGAATGGTGATGGAGAGAGGTGGTGGTGTGGAGAGAATGGTGATGGAGAGAGCTGGTGGTGTGGAGAGAATGGTGATGGAGAGAGGTGGTGGTGTGGAGAGAACGGTGATGGAGAGAGGTGGTGGTGTGGAGAGAACGGTGATGGAGAGAGGTGGTGGTGTGGAGAGAATGGTGATGGAGAGAGGTGGTGGTGTAGAGAGAATGGTGATGGAGAGAGGTGGTGGTGTGTAGAGAACGGTGATGGAGAGAGGTGGTGGTGTGGAGAGAACGGTGATGGAGAGAGGTGGTGGTGTGGAGAGAACGGTGATGGAGAGAGGTGGTGGTGGAGAGAGGTGGTGGTGTGGAGAGAACGGTGATAGAGAGGTGGTGGTGTGGAGAGAACGGTGATGGAGGGTGCAGTTTCTGGGAAACGAGGCAGAGGCCAGCCTCCAGGAAGGTAGTTACAGGACACTGAAGATGCTTCGGCTATGACAACACACAGTCCTGGAAGAGAGCAACGTTCTGTATAGGACTTGATGACAGAGAGAACTGCATGCAAAAGCGAAGGATAGAACGACTTGGCGATAGCTGGTTGAGGACCAAGCTTAACTAGGGCATTAGAAAAAAATAAAGGTAAAGTCGGGAGATGTGAACCAACATCATTGCACACGGTTATAAACCATAAGTGCTCTGCCACTAGTATGGACAACAGATACGAAAATGTCCGTCTGTGTCGCCGTCCGCACACAACTCTGTAGCTGCAGTGACGTTCCTCCATTTACCCTAGAGTGTTAACTC